AATAAAGTAATAAAATTTTTGATACCTATTAATGCTAGATATGATGATAAGGAACAAAATTGTAACGTATACGTAATGTAATACGAGTTCTTAGGTTTTCGCGATTGTTACACATAGGAAGTGAAATTATTTTTCTTGATTTAAATCGCGTATATTTGTTTTTTTTTTCGACAAACCAAGGTTTCGGGCCCTTTATAGGTCATATGATCACGGTTGACTGGATTTTTAGGTTTTCGCAATTGTTACACATACGAAATGAAACTAAGTATTTTTCCGGATTTAAATAGCATATATTTGTTTTTTTCAAACAAACTGATTTCCCGGATGTAAATCCGGAAAAATAGTTTCATTTTCTATTTTACTTTATATTAATTTACTACGTAATTATTATCTCATCTAACGTCAATTTCTGATTCTAAACTTGAATTACTACTACTCTAACTAGAATGTTTGCATTCTCTCTTCTTTAAACCAAAAATACGAGGATGACTCAGTTTTACAAATAATTAATAGTGGTACTTTTTATATGTAAACGTAAAAAGATAAAAATCACTTACTAGTGATTTGAAACTTCTATTGAACAAAATTCATCACAAACATGACTTCAAGATTTATACTAACAATATCGTAATAGAGTATCGGGAAAAAGATTGAAATGGTGGTAATTGTAAAGCAGTATGAGGCGAAAACCCTAAAAATCATAGATTTTTGTTTAAACGACATATTTCTACATCGAATTTGGCTAGAGGATAGAAAGTTATTTCTTATTTTTACTTCACTGAGTGTATCACAAAGCATGAATAAATTATTTTTAGATTTTTGTGTCTCGCGTATATGTGAATATGATTTCAGAGAAACGGCGCAATTCCACTATAGAAATTAAAAGAGAAATTCTGACTTTTGCACCACTTAGAAACAAAGATTCAAAGAAACGAACACGAAAGAAAAAACGAACGACTCGTTTTCTTCAAGACAGAATTTAGGAATTTGAGAATTTTTTAAATTCATTGAATATCACGGTATTTTACTAGTATGATATTCAATTATGTTTTGTTAAATTACTCCACTAGTTTGTTATAATTATTAATGCAAACATCGAACACTAAAAGACATTTCTTCCACAGTGCCATACGCTTTCCCAACTGAGCTATGGAACGAACCACAAGACTTTATTTTCCAAGAATCGAATTTTCCTACGTGCTTGTTGCGGATATTTATTTTGTTTTTAACGACTTTTTTCCCGTAGCGCCATCTGTGAGAAATTAATTTCTTCATTCATTTATAATTTGAGTTATTCATTTCAGGCTCATTAAATTATGTTATGCGTATCGTCTAGGATATGTTCTTTTACATATCTGTGGTTGTCACTGTGACGATGCTGACATTCTTTATAGTCATCCCTTTCTTTTTTCATCCCTTTTTCTGGTTCCTAGCCACTTACTTTTGTAATTTTGGATCGTTGAGTATAGGTCTGCTAATCTTTCTTTCGCATCTTCCTTTATATAGGTATATAAATAATCATATGATTTATACCTTGAATTGTCGTTCTCTACAAGTCACGTGCGTTGAAATGAACCTAGTTTGGCGTGGGGCAAGCAGGAATAGTTTGAGACAAACGGGAAAACTGAGCTGAAATGGGAACCATGCCAAAATGCTCGGTAAATATCACTACGGGTATTTGGCAAGGATTTGTCACCAAATAGGCAATATTGTGTGCGAATTAAGTAATAAATGTCTTGAGTAGGTATCGTAATGCGATTATATTCTGTTGAAATAAAATTTATGTCCAGATATAATGGACTTACATTGCATAAGAACACACATAAAAATCACAAAATAACCCAAAAAAACAAGGCTTGTGTAGACATTAGAGTGGTTACACACTGCGTGGCGACTTTTAGCAGCGATGCAAACGGACGTTGGTGAAACGCGCGATTTCATCGCTACACTTGCTATTTATAGGCGATTGCATTGATGCAAACGCGTGACTACGACAATGCAGTCGCTTATTTTGAATAACTATATATGAAAAATCTATATACGTTTATGCACATTTTTTGTTTTGTTAATTAAATAAATAGATTTGTTAATTAATTTAAAACGAGAATCGCGTTTGCATCGCTACTAAAAGTAGCCGTGTGTAACTGCTCTTACTTCTGTTGAAGTGTATAGAATTCTATGTTCTATTGAACCTTTTTCAATACTAACAAATGTTTTGAAGCCGCTTGAAGTTTTCTTAGAATAACGTAAAAGGAAATAAGAAATGTGAAGGCTTTGTGCCTTTGAGAGCACGAGTTCAACTTAAAACGATTTAATTTATTTTCACCACGCTTTATGAGTAGTTCGTCTTCAAAGAGGTTGTTAAACAATTGTAGTAATGTGCAGAGGGAAATTAATTTAATAATATTTTTTCACTGTTTATACCAAGATGAAGACATCAATAGCAAGGAAGCTTCAAATAATGTTATAACTTCGTCTTATTAACAGTAATTTAATTAATTAATTAATTAATAAGAATGAAATCTACTTTCCGAGTGGGACTAATAATTAATCTGAGTTTAGTGACTAATAATCAAAAGCGGCAATTACTATACTTATCAATACTAAGAATTTAGTTTCTTTTTATTTTTTTATTTTTTTTTATAATAGAACATATAGAATAGAAGAACAAGTCGTGCGCCTGACGGTAAGCTACACGCCTGTCCACAACAGTTGCAGTGCCACTCAGAGCTTCAAATCGCGAAGATGTGAAGGGCACTGCCACTGCGCCCGTCACCCTGAGACATAAGTTGACAAGTCCCACGTGCCTGTAATTTCACCAGCACCGTTACCCTTTAAAACCGGAACACAGTAATGTTATCATTACTGCTTGGCGGCAGAAATAGATAAGGTGGGAGTACTTCCCTGGACGAACTCTTTCACAAGGAGCTCTACTGTTGGTATCTAATTTTAAACGGATTTGAAAAAAGGAAAGGTTCTCATTCGGCCGTATTTTTTTAATTTGTTATTATTGAACTTTTCCAATAAGAACAAACTATAATATGTCCAGTACTTTCACTCAACTTAATTTTTAATAACACGACTTCATTGATCTCAAGTACAACCACGTATGGGTAAAAAAATACGTTTCGTTTCGTTTCTGCAGATTTTTAATAAATATGTCCCATCAAGTGAAATTCACATTAAATTGTTAACGACAGAAATTAGTAATAATTTAATAAATAATAAGTATAATCTAATGATTTTCGGAAATCAGATTCCCTTTGGGAGGGTCTGTTCGTATCCTACCGACTTACCGTTATGTGTCAGATAATTAAAATGTGATGATGATGAGGTCTTCTGTGTTTTATTATGTTGGAAGTAACTTCTTAATTAACAGACTACAAAAAAGGCCGCCTGTTCTCAATTCGTCTGTATTTTTTTTGCGTATGTTACACGGTTAGTCCGACATTTGTGCGCTAGTTCTTTATTTTTGTTGGAAAGGAGAAACCATTCAAATTTGAAGAAAATATTGCTCTAAGGGTAGCAAATTATGAAGTGAATCCGGTTTATTAGATTTCACCCCCTTCGCGTTAACCGATTTCAATCAAATTGTGAAAATAGATGTAATTCCACCAACTTTTCAGGTCCTTTTTTCAAGACAAAGAGTATTTAAGAATTTGCTATAAATTAAAGCCTTTGTCATTATTATTGGTTATCTTTATGTGATTATGTTTATTAGAGTTCTTGCTGAACAACTTTAAAGTCATTAGAACAGTTTTGATATCAAATCTAATTTTTCAATGAGTAACCCAACTTTGTAAGCATGGAATAAGTAATTTATCCCTTGTTAGAGAAAACTTAGCCATGTGAAGTTATAATTAGCTAGTGAAAGACGAAAAACTACTTCCGACATGAGGGTGAGTTTGTAAAAGCAACGAGCAATTTGAATTGAGTATTCGGTGAAGCCTTGTTATACTAAAGTTTGATGTTGTGTAGAACGCTGTAAATGTAGTTGTGGTACACGTTTAATAACTTAAGTGTGGTCAATCATCAGGTGGTTTTTTAATTTGAGTAGTTTCTTTCGATATTTCATTTTTTATTTAATTGAATATCATGATGTTTTTGCTACCATTATACATATATACTATATTTTTCTGTGAAAAACTGCACTAGTTTGTTATTATTATCTGTACAAAGATCGAACAAATACAAAGAATAATTCTTTCTTTTTCTTCCTTCCTAGATTCCTTAGAATAGAGGGTCCGTTGCTTTATCGAGATTAATTTTCGATAACGGATACATACATACATGGATACATCTAACAACAATGTCGTTTACATGCATCAAACAACAAAAAAAAGAACAAAAATATCTGTTGTGTATTTCACAAAAAAACCGTGACGGCTACGGTGAGGTTATTTAAAAAGAATTCTCACTAGATGTCATTAGCGGCGACGAATGCCGAAAGCCAATACAAATATCTATAACAAAAACACATAGGAGAATTTCCACGGCTCGGTAAATGGACCCGTAGGTCAGTTGGTAAGAGCAATGCTACGGTGCACCATGGACATGGGTTGAAGGCCCACCGGGTCGAGGAAATTTTTCTGTGCGTTCGATCTTTGTATATTGTTCATAATCATAACAAAACTTTTGGAGTTATTTCAGAAAAAATCTCAATAAAAAATATCTGTTAAATAAATTACATTTGTAATATTCACATAGGCTAAACATGTAAAAATAGAATAGGCTAAAAATAGAATTGTCGCTTCTTGTTGCCGGTTGCTTGTATCCAACACAAGACACACGTTTGCGCTGCGCCTAAGAAATAACCAGAAAGAGCTACAAAGTCACTACTATAGAGTTTTGTCACCCAAGTACGCAGAAGCCGCACCTGTATTATAAAGTTCATGTCATAATAAATGCCATTGGTATGACATGTAAAGATAATTAAAAACGTCAGAACACAACCACGTAATCATCTATCAATTTAAAAGAACGAAAAAGAAGCAACTTACCTCTTTCCCAAGTGATGGATTCGATTGGATACCCTGCAACAGGGCATTTGATGTTCAAATCGCTTCCAGAAACAGCTGTCACCTTGGGCATTTCTCTGATAAACGGCAGCCCATAAACATTCACCCTAGCCGCATGGATTGCCTTCCCAGCTGTATTGGATGCCACACATGCGTATTCTCCGCCGTCTTGCTCAGTCACACGACTGATGTTTAAATGACTGACGACGTCGTCCTGGAGTGTTACATGCTGGCCGACAACAAACCTGGGTGTAGAAAATATGATTTTATTATCAGTTATTAACACTTAACGGACTCTGTAGCCGAACGGTTACCATGCTGCCCTGTCACGCAGAGAACCCGGGTTCGATTCCAGGACCGGGAGAAATATTTGTATGGCCTACATTTATTTCTTTCATTAGTTTGGGTGTACTTTGTGCTTGTTTATGTGTGTCTTCATAGCACCCGCGGTACGGGGTTTCCCTAGTGCGGGGTTATGAGTGTGTGCGTTATTATTATTATTATTATTATTAAAAATAATTAATGAAATCAACAAAATATTTAAAAAAGAAATTCGAGTACGCGTGTCCAAATTTAAAGGATATTAAAACGTAACCTAGTAATATATTCAGAAATAGACTCAGTGAATGGCTTAAAGAGAAACATTAGCACAAAGTCATTGATATCTTAGATAAATGTTGACATAAAATTAGTACTGGATATATTATGTATAATTTTTATCGTTGAATATTGTTATAATTATTAATGCAAAGATCGAACACTGAGAAAAAAATCCTTGGAACCGACGTCTACTAGCAAACCGTACCAGACGCTATGCCCATTAGTTGGCATAGCGTCTGGTACGGTTTGCTAGAAGACGTCGGATCACGGTGTGAATCAACGGACCTCACGAATTTCTCTATGTGCTTATTGTCGTATCTTTGCATTTGGTTTTTCAATGACTTTTAACCGTTGCGCCACATTGATTATGATTATTTTATTGGTATCTAATTATTTCTTGTGCAAGTCCAATGGTGTTATTATAATACAATTTAAGTAAAATATGCGTGCTTGATGTGGTAATATGTGTTATATCATAAATGTGTATTATGATCAATGGTCCGACCATAGGGTGTTCCAAATAAGTATATAAATGTCTATACAAGAACTAACTGAAATTAAACTATTTTTTCGGATGTACATCGCGTAAATTTGTTTTTACAAACAAAACAAAGTTTCCGTCCTTTACTGGTCCTATAGTCACAGCCGACTGTCTTCGAAAAGTCAGTTAGGAGTTAAAAATGTAATCAATGAATATTTGGTGGTTTTTACCACTCTGTCGCTCCTTGTATCTATCTATATGTAGTCATTTATCTACTTATTTGGGACACCCTATTTCGACTATTGATTATAATATACGTAGTATTCATCTTACGTTCATCATATTTTAACTAAATAAAATTTCATTTAGCGTTCTATAATACTAGTCTGTATAAATCTAATAACAAAGCGTACAGATATCTTCTTTGCATGACTCGCGAAAAATTTTATGGGTCTTCTCGTAACAAAATTTACATTGTATGATTTATATGGAATAGAATTAGCTACAGTATTAATAACAATATCAAATCCATAGTAAAAGTTTTCACACATTCAACTCTCGATTCGTTTTTTTTTTGAGTCGAATTAAACTTTCATGGACTTGTTACAGATGACGCTAAGGCAAGAAAGCTGTTAAAAAATTATCAACAAACAAAGATCGGCAATAAGCACATAGAGACATTCATGAGGTCTGCTAATTCGTTCCGTAGCTCAGTTGGGAGAGCGGTTAGCCCCGGTTTGGCAAACACGTGCTTGTTCGAAATCAGCTGGATCGAAGGAATTTTCCTTTGTGTTTGTTCGATTTTTATATAAATAATAATACCAAACCATTGGAGTATTTTCACAAAAAATATGTGACTATCATAGCAGTAAAAAGAAAACATCATGGTATTCAATAAAAATAAAATATTGCAATATGAATCAATTCAACATTGTCGGCAACGGTTGTCGTCGTATGATGCGCCTGTTTTGTATAGGATAGGGTAGGAAGGAAGTATATTGTTTATCGGCTATGATAACCTTTCGCTTAGGAGTGTATAAGTTAGATTTTCAATAGCATACTGAATAAGTATATGCAAATAGAAGAAAACTCCTTGATATGTAGCTTCCCTTATTACGCCAGAATTAATTGATCTTGAAGACAATGGCGCTCGATTCACACAGACGCCCGACATTTGCACCGGAAACCTAACATCTAGATATCTGCCTGAGTTAATTGCTTGGCATTGCACACGCGAAGTGCTGACTTCGTATCCTCCTAATCTCCGCATTTATCTTCGGCGTAAAATCGAGGGCCACTATATATATGTGCATTTGAGTGAAATCAAATATAAGCACTTACTGATGTAGTTATTTCAATGATCTTAATAGATACTTGCTAAAAAGAGTTCAATTATGATTAGGGAATGCAATCGAGATAATCTCTAATTTTAAAAAATCCGGGATTATCTGGGATTTTCACTAAATTTTAAAATCCGGATTTCAAAATCGAATTCGGAATTTAATATCGAATCCTGATTTTATTTACATTTTATTGACAGTTACGAAGTTTAAACAAAAATGTTCTTATACTTTCTCTATGTTAAAGAATTTTGAAAACAGATGCTGCCCAAGACCGACGAAAATGTTAAAGGAGAGGGAGGATTTTACCCAGCAGCGCGATAGAACGGGTTTATAAAAAAAATCTAAAAAGACTGATGTCAATTACCTATAAAAAATTGGTTAAAACAAAACATACGTTTTTTTAAGTAAATCGGGAATCTGTTGAAATCTTATAGTTTTCCAAAAAATCCGGAATATCCAGATTCGCTGCTAAATCCATTTTCGAAATTCGGATTTCAAATGTACGGATTTGCATTCCCTAATTATGATAATAACATTTATATGAACCACATGCCGTATATACTAGAACGCTTAAACGAAAACAAAAGGCGATTAAAGCATTCTTTTCACAAATTAAATGTTTTAATTTAATTAAATGGTAATTTCAATAACATTGATATTATAGTTCAACCTTTCTTTAGCGTTCCCTTAAATGGATGTATTTTATTAGAAGATATATTCTTTTACTACAGAATCTTTCCGAAATATCGAATCGAAAGTTGAATAGGTATGAATTATGGAAAAGCGGATATTATTTTTTATACAGTAGCAAATTGTATCTCATATGAGGTGTGAATTGAGTTAGCCAGGATGGACTACTTTAATTAAATTAAGTGTTTAAACTGAAACTATTATTTTGTGTATATCACATATATATATGTATGTACATATGTATGTGTGTACATATATATGTGTATATCACAAGTGCTTATTATTTATTATTACTTATTATTACATTATGTAACACGATTTTTGTTTCCGGGTCATAAATGTTGTTTTCTAAATTGGTTCGAACATAATAACACGAAAAAGCTTTATTTTCCTGCAGAAACTTTGCTGTTATGGTAAGGATAAAGAAAAGTCGAAATTTGCATTTGCATTAAGAGTCTCTACTACGTCAAGAAGAAGGAAATATAGAGTAAAATTGAGAATATACACTAATTACCGTACGGTGTGAAAAAATTATTGCTGAGAATTTTCATGATATAGACAAACTTACCTCGAAATTTTAAAAGAAACCCGCTGTATTCAATAGGTATTATACATATACCAAACATTTCTTTTTGTATCAACTAACCACGTATACTATACGATATACATTTTTCAAACGACTTTAATATTGTTTGTAAAAAAATAAATGCTGATTTATTTCAGCATTCCAATGTCCTGCCGCTCGATCGAGCAAAATGAACCGTATTAGTACGGGAAAAATTCGGTAATACCTCAGCTCGAATTCAACGAGCTGAGGTAGTACCGACTGTTAATGGAAACGTAAAAATTTTCGAGTTTCTTTATTTAAAGACAAAAACGAAGCATACTGTTTCAAATCAATAGCATATTTCAGGGAAAATTGTACAAATAGATGACAAAGAACCTAGAAATGTGTAGATTTGCGTCATTGTCTAAATATACATGTGTAGCTATGTAAATAGGCAGCTATGTAAATACTACCACAAAAGCAAAGTCCAGGGATAAGATAGCTACTCTTTTCTACATACTTGCTGCAGAATTAAATAGAAACCAATACTGTCAATCCAGAAATAGAAACTTTTTGAAAATTTGTTACATAGTGTTATAATTATACGTCTTCGTCCGAATAAGATCTGTTTACTCACCTAGAATTTGTAGGTATAGGAAAGCCATCAAGGAGCCAGGTGAATTGTGGTGGTGGGTGACCCATGGCGACACATTTGAGAGACACGCTTGGCCCCGGTTGGAGGGTTTGCTCCGAGAACCAGTACACCAGCTCCGGTTTTGCTTCTGTTAACAACGATATATAAAAATGTAAAAATTGGTATAAATATCATAACAATTTACTTTTATCATCATATCAGCCGGAAATGTCCACTGCTGAACATAGGCCTCCCCAATGATTGCCAGACTAGCTGGTGGGACCCAACGTGCATCCATAGGTTACCTGCGGCCCTTACCAGGCCATCCGTCCATTAGGACTCGGTGAGGACTCGCTGCTTATATGCCTGCTGTCAAACGGAAAATAGGTGCTACGACATCGAGTTGCGGCAATCAGCCACCATATCATTATGCCTTTTTTGTTTTTTCTTCGTGGGGAAAAGGCGTGCTTGCTTTATTTCAGTGTCTAAGATCTTTAGTGTAAACCTAAGCCATTTTAGGAATCATTAAGGGCGTGTTCCCATTTTATGTCGTGCAATTTAATGAATCGTGGCTTGTATATTTAAATGAAGTTATTCACATATAGAACAACACGATTAACGTTATTCACGACTTTTTTGACGTCACGACAGACTATCGTGATAATAGGAAGAGCTGGAACGGCAGTCAGCGGTCGATAAATAAAACGTCACGATAAAAATGTGACGCAGACAATCGCAGCTTCAAACGATTGCGTCGTACAAACGATAAGGCGGCTGCCGTAAACCGATGAATTGTCGTCACGATCTAGTGGGCACAGCTAGACACGACAGTCGATAAAATAAACGTCCACGACACAGTCACGACATATAATTGTGATTTGGGAACAGGCTAGATGCGACAGTCGTCTAACGATAAATAAAACGTTACGATATAATGGTAACGCGCCATATAGGGAAATGATATCGTGGTTGCGTAGGCTTTGAAGTGTGTGAGGTTGACTCGGAGAAATTCATTGCACGATATTTAAACATTTATCTTTATTTATAAATGAAATATATTTTCTTATTGTAAAATAAGCTCATAGTCCCCTGACGAATTCATTAGGGAACACGAAAGAAAATAACATAATCTCAGTACAGAGTACTAAAGCTGACCTCAAAAGTCATTTATCCTCTAGTTTGCCATCCTTAGCGGTGGAATATTTTTTTGAAATCGAAATGGGATCACTACTGAAGTACCCTCTTTTCAACATAAAAGAATCTATGCAATGGTTCACAAATCGCGTAACATACAAAAAAACATACAGTCGAATTGAGAACCTCCTCCTTGTTTTGAAGTCGGTTAAAAAATCATTGAGTTATATCAAATAAAACTGATTTTTCCGAACGAAGTAAAAAATTAAAATTTTCAGGAAGATTATTTTAGTATTTTTTTTAATAAGCGAAATTTAATCAATCGAATTTTGAGCCCCATGAACTATATCTTCTGTCAGTACCAATTAAAAAAACAAGTTGAATTCGTATTTTTTAATATCGAAAAACTACGTTCGTGTGGTCCAAATATGTCGACGTTTGTTTGAGTCTCACTTCACCTTGAATGATACTTTTGTGAAGATTAAAAAATTAGGACCATCGTAACACAGTCTCTTTGTTGTCAGTGTTTACTGAATTACCTGATGCAAAGAAAACTACTTGCATCAGTAAATTATAAATACTGTCCATTGGGTAAGATGATACAACGAGTCTTTTCGAAGAAGAAGACGGGTGTCGGCCATTTATTCATCACGCTAACCCAGTCAATGACTAGTTTTCAGGAAAGGAATATGAACCTTTAAAGAGTATTATAAATTGTGAACCTTCTCTGTAAGACAAATGAGACCAACTGTGAGGCTAAGCAGACATTTGAATTATTGTTTAGAGTTTAAGATACAGAATTAGCTAATGATTATGTTTTTCGTTTGATTTTTCTTGAACAGGACTAAAAGACAAAGAAATAATCTAATTCGTGCCACTACGTCATTTTGCTGGATTTGTAACAATCTGCTACGTAATACCTCCGCTGGTCTATACGCAAATTAAAATGAATTCAAATCCCTTAAGCTCCTCAGATCCTAGCATAATGCTGAGAGGATTGTTTTTGTTATGTTATGTTATGCTGGTTATGGCATGATTTTATTAATTGTCCCACGGTTTCAATAACGAAAACAAATTAGGGCTTTGCAGAAGGACAATCAAATTGTAACCAAAAGACGTAATTACTATTACACCGTATTTGTTACCACACTGTATTCTTTCACGTACAAGAACTAACCTCACAGATAAATACATTCCTACTAGTAGTCTAAAAATTGTAAGAAAACAATTAAACAATGGCATTGGTATTTCTTATTGAAAATAATGGAGAGGTTGTCGTAAATTGTACCTGTTTGAATATGGAATATCCACAACCTCTTTTATTTTCAATAAGAAACACACATAAGTGACTGAATGTCTAGGACATACGTTTCATATTCTTTTACCTTACCCGCATATCTTTAATATTTCGGATAGCCTTGTAACTAGAGATGAGCGAATCGTATTAAGCCGCTCTGGGAACAATGGGTTTAGGTGCAATGAAATCGTGCAGGTGAATCTAATTCGGTATTGTACACGCGTTTTTCTAATTGTATAACAAAATCAATCTGTATCTACATCATCTTGTACATTTACACAACACGTCTTTCATATTTTATTGGACGGTCAATGTGTCTTTCAGTTTCAGTCAGTTTTGTTGTCTTGGGACCTTTAAACTTTACGATTTCAAGAGTTGTCTGTTTGCTTTGGGAATTGGGTTTATTCCAGGAACTAGTAAAATTTCTTCAACTAGTTTTTTACTTGATACTTGATTTTTTCACGTGTAACTCTATATTTTTTTTTATAATACCAAATCATGGGACGAACAACTCGTGGTAAGCGAAACGCCTGTCCATAAAAGTTGCAGGATCACTCAGAGCTTTAAATAGCAAAGATCTTAGGGGCACTGCCGATGCGCCCGTGACTCTGAGACATGACAAGTCTCATGTGCCTGTAACTTCACCAGTACCCTTACCCTTCCAAACCGGAACGCAGTAATGCTCACAGTACTTCCTTGGACGAACTCTTTCACAGGGAGCTCTACTGCTACTAAAAATTCTCTCCCTGGAGGGTGTAGCATGTACTTAGTACGTGAGTGAACAGAGTAAGTTTATATATGTATTTTTTTAAGTTTAGTACTCTACTAGTATGTTGTTATAATTGATAGAAAGGTCGAACAAACTCCAAGAAAAAATCCTTCGATCCGGCTGGATTTGGCTGAATGAAGAAAAAATTGTCATAGTTTTCTTAAAGGTGGCGCTCCGCCAAAAAGCCCATTACAAGAAAAAACAAAGATCTGCAGCAGGCACACAGAGAAATTCTTAAGGTCAGTTGACTCGTTTCGTAGCTCAATTGGAAGAGCGATAACCCGCGTTTGGTCATAAAATTTCTGGTTCAAGGTCAGCCGGATTTAAGGAATTTTTCTTTCAGTTTGTCCGATCTTTGTATCAATTATAAGACTAAGTTTATATTTTAGTACCCAATAAGACTAAGGCTCAGTTTATATTGCAACGGAACGAAATGGAAGCAAAATTTGTTGTGTAACGTGTAAACTAGATACGAGTAAAAAAACTAAGAATTCTCGCGGTCTCGCCATAGCTTATACTATAATGTTCAGTGTTGTCGTTGTCTAAAAATTATATCGTTCATTCATTCGTTCAAAAACAACAATATTTAATACCCAAGTCGTTTTTCCCAATCATTGTAATTAGCTACAGAGAATTGCTAAATAATCCTTTGTGCTTAATTATTCAATCGGTAACATTAAACTGTTTAAAAGTAAGCATCCGATATTGAAAATCTTGTGACCCTTTGTTCTTAAACACAATAAGAATAATGTCGTTTGAAGTGTTTTTGGAATTAATAATTAGTTGTTGTTATTTTATTTTAAAGAAGTAATAGGGGTTAAAGTATGAAATTGCCGATTTGTACTGAAAATCTAAATTGTTTATTTTTTAAATTTTTAACAAATTTATTTAATCAAAATAGTTGCCATTATTATCTATAAATTGCTGCCATCTAATGGGAAGGTTATTAATGCCTTTGCGATAGAACTCCGACGATCTAGACTGCACAAACTGTGTGAAAGCATTTTGTACTGCCTCCTGGGAAGAAAACTTCTTGTCACGTAGATAATTGTCCAAATCACGAAAAAAATGGTAGTCCGTTGGAGCAAGGTCTGGTGAATACGGAGGATGACGAATGGTTTCTAACTGCAGTTCCTGAAGGGTCAAAATGGTTTCTCGTGCTGTGTGAGGTCTCGCGTTGTCGTGGAGCAATAATGGTGAAGATCGATTCATGAGTCGGGGCTGTTTTACTGCTAGTTTTGTCAACATGGTTCGGAGTTCGGCACAATAGACATCTGCCGTTATTGCTTGACCAGATCGGAGAAAACTATAGTGAATAACACCATGCTGAGACCACCAAACAGTTACCATTACCTTTTTATTGGTAAGTTTTGCTTTAGGACACTGTTGTGGCATTTGACCTGGGGTCAGCCATTGCATTTTTCTTTTCCGGTTATCATAAAGAATCCACTTTTCATCACATGTTACAATTCGATCCAATATTCCTTCATTTCTGTACCGGTTCAACAAGGCAACACAAGTTTCAACACGCGTTTCTTTCTGCAGATCAGTCAAATCATGAAGCACCCATTTTTCGTATTTTTTTATTTTATTGATTTGACGCAAGTGAGCCAATATTGTGGGTAAGGTAACGTTAAACCATGCCGCTAATTCCTGGGTAGTTTGACTAGGATCGGCTTCCACTATCTCTCTTAATTCATCGTTATTCACCTGTGTGGGCGGTCTTCCTCGTGACTCGTTCTTTAAGTCGAAATTTCCATCACGAAAGCGTTTAAACCAAAATCGCACGGTGCGTTCATTAGTAGACCCCTCTCCAAACGCAGCATTGATATTGCGGGCTGTTTCTGCCGCGTTAGTTCCGCGTCGGAACTCGTATTCAAAAATCACTCGAATTTTCGCAGTATCCATCTTTCTTGTCTAAATTGAATAACAAAAACAATTGAAAGTC